GAATCACTCTAGGCAGACGGAATAGCAAGTACGATGGCTCTGAGACGAGGAGTTGGGTGTGACCTAGGAGGAGCAAAAATCAACATGGCTAGACCTGGGTGCTGGAATGGAGGGAGGGGGAAGTGGACCAGGTCGGAGGCCAGGACTCACAGGGCTTTTTAGGCTGCAATGAGGAGTCTGGATTTATTTTGGAGTTTGATGGGAGCCACAGGATTTGATAGATGGTTTAAAGGCTGCTATAAGGACAAATGGGGAAACTGAGGCCCAGAGCAAGGAGAAGCACAGCCCTGGCTAGTTTGGCTCAGCAGTTAGAGTGTCAGCCCATGGACCAAAGAGTCCCAGGTTCAATTCCAGCCAAGAGCACGTACCTTGGTTGCGGTTCATTCCTGGTCCCAGTTGGGGCCGTGCAGGGGGCAGCCAGTCGATGTGTCTCTCTCACATTGATGTTTCTCTCTCTCTCTCTCTCTCTCCTTCCCACTCTGAAGATAAATGTAAAAATATCCTCAGGTGAGGATTTAAAAAAAAGGAGAAGTACAGGGAGTCATTGGTGCGCTGGGCACTGACTCCTGGCTCAGGATTCCCCAGCTTGGACACCTCCCCTTGCTCTGTTCACACTCCTGAGGCTCACATTAGGGTCCTCAGCAAGGCTCTCGGGTTAGATTTCAGGGTGATTTGAGTTCAGACTAGCAGTTTCTCAGATGGTGTTCTGGGGTCTGGGGCATGGCCCAGCCCTGTCACGCACAGGGGCCAAAGCAGTTCTAGACTCAGACGCAGGAGAACAGCCATGTTCTTTATCTTTGAGGGACCTGGCCCTGCTGACTTCCAGCCCCATCTCTTGCCTCTATATACCTCACTGTTTACCCTCCAGCCAGCTTTTCTAATAGAATTGCAGGCATCGGCACCCTGGCCAGTTTGGCTCAGCGGTTGGAGCGTCGGCCAGTGGTCCAGGGAGACCCGGGTTCGGTTCCCGCTAGGGGCATGTACTTCGGTTGCAGTTTGTCCCCGGCCCTGGTTGGGTTGTGCTGGTGGCGGCCACTCGATGTGTCCCTTTCACGTCGATATTTATCTCTCTTCCTCTCTCTCCCTCCCACTCTGTCTGAATGGAAAAATGTCCTCAAGTGAGGATAAAAAAAAAAAAAGAATTACAGGCATTGGTAAGTCTGTGGGGAAGGTGATGTGTGTGTGATATGGGGAAAAGGGTGGGGTGAGGTACCTTTTATCACATTTTGGGTCCCAGATGTGCCGGGCTGGGACATTGTCTCATGACTCATCCCTTGTAATTTATAAGGGGCTTCTATTCATCATCTCCTATGAACTTCACAGCAACCCTGATGTGTGGGCCAGAGAAGGAGCCTGATGTCCAGGACACTGATGAAGAATAACGGGCTCAGAGAGGGATGTGGCTTGCAGTCAGTCACACAGCAAGCTGAAGAAGAGGCCTGATTTCTGCTTCCATGTGAGCTCAGGTTTCTGTGAACAGCTCTTGGTCCAGTAGGAGTAGGAGCAGCCAGTGCCCTCCTTGAGTGAAAGGCCTCCCAGCTTCCCTTCCAGGGGGAAGGAAAGTGTGGAGATGCAAGCTACCTCAGCCCAAGTTTTATTTTGCTGTGTGACTGGGTAGCTCCTTTCCCTCTCTAGGTCTCTTTCCCACCCATTCAGGGAGGATCTGGATGAGATAACTTCTAAGGTCCTTGTTGTCCAAAGCTTCTGACCCTGGCACCCAAGAAGAGAGAAGATGCCATGAGGGAAGGAGAGAGAGAGAAAGATGGGTCCAGAGGTGGGTGGGAACCAGGACAGAGGTTGAAAGGAGGGTGGGGTGGAGAAGCAGTGTGCTCTTGGGGAAGACACTTCCCCTCTGAACCTCTGTTTCCACATTTGTCAAATGCAGTCACCATGAAGGTCCTGGCCCAGCATGTGGGACATGTCAGTCTTTTCCAACTGCTGGGCCTGGGCCTTGTTGCTGCTGGCCAGGGTAGCTTGGGCAGCCCATTGAAGATGTTAGGTCAGGAAGTGATCTGGCTGCTTTGGCTGGCTGACCTCTGCTGGCCCAAGGGAGGTGGAGGGTGGGGTGTTCTTCTAGTTTGGAGAGGTCCAGGCAACACCAGCACCTTGGTCAGGAGATCACTGAGATAGCAGAGAGAGCTTAGGCTTAGGAGCCACCAGGCCTGGGTTAGAATCTCAGCTCTGATAATTATACTTAGCAGCTGTAAGATCTTGGGCAAGTCACCTAAGACCTTACTAAGTCTCAGTTTCCTCTGTAAAAGGGGGATGCCCATCCTTGGGTGCTGTGGGGCTGGAACAGAAGAGCAGTAGGGAACAGTGCACCCAGCTCAGGCTCTGAGGACCAGCTGAGATTTCTTCTCCCTCTGCTTTCCCTGCACCCCGCATGGGACCAGCACAGGCTTGGGGGCAGCACCAAGGACCCACTCACCGTTCTGTCCCCGTCTGGACTGGAATCCAGGCCCAAGTGGATGCCTCTACTTAGCTTGGAGACACTGGTAGCCTCAGAGCTGGGGGAGGCTGAGCATGGCACACTGTGCAGCCCTAACTCCTGCTGAGAGAGAAATTGCTCACAATGAAAGGCTTCCACTCCACTGGGTCCAGGTGTCATCGTGCGTGGTTGGGAGGGTTTGCTCAAGCGAGAAGCTGATGAGAGCGCAGGAGGGGCTGGCTGGGGGCACCCACCCAGAACCTGTTTCTGATTTCCTTTGCTGCTCACCCCTCTCTCTGGCTGGCAGCTTTCCCGGATTAGCTGCTGATGTCAGGAGCTGCCAGCTGGGCCTGCCTGGCACAGCCACAGGAGGTGTATGAGGGCTGTCTGGTAGATGGGAACAGTCAAAGAAGGGGGCCTGAGTTTAGCTTTCGAAAATTTGTCTTCCAGGGAGCTGGGAGGTGGGTAGGAGAGCTGAATTGTGTCAGGCACTCACATATTATCTGAGTAGCACATCCACACCGTAAAGAGAAATAGCTCAGGGAAGGGGAGTAACTTGCCCAAGGCCAGCCACACAGCTGGTCTGACCCTGGCTGCATCCTACACCATCTGGTGGACCCACAGCTGCTAGGCTCAGAGGGCTCATCTTCATGTAGGTCAGTGCCTTCTACATTAGTGGTTCTCAACCTGGGGGTCGGGACCCCTTTGGGGGGGCCGAACGACCCTTTCACAGGGGTCGCCTAAGACTATTGGAAAACACTTATTTCCGATGGTCTTAGGAACCGAGACACCGCTCTTCTATCCGTCTCCAGGCGGGTCAGCCCACATGCAGATACACTCACAGACAACATGAGGAACTGTATCAAAGGGTCGTGGCATTAGGAAGGTTGAGAACCACTGCTCTACATCACCACCACAATGGCAGCTGCCATGTGCTGAGCACCTGTAGGCTGGTGTCCCATTCTGCAGATAAGGATGTAGTAAGTGCTCAAGATACCTGAGCTAGAATGAGAGGGAGGCTGAGCTGGAAGCTTGGTTAAGCTATAAGGAGGTGGAATATGAGACTGCCCTGATCCCAGGCTGGGAACAGTCTGCCTGCTGTTACGGTTTGGGGAGTGCAATTTGAAAATTTGAAACCCACTCTGGGTGTGAATTTTAGTTCCGCTACTGTGATGTGGAGCATATCACTTTGCTTTGCTGAGCCTCAATGTTTATTTGTAAAATGTCCATTTAAAAATGTCCACCTTGCACCCAGCCGATGTGGCTCAGTGGATTGAGCGTTGTCCCACTAAGGTTCCGGTTCGATTCCCAGTCAGGGCACATGCCCGGGTTGTGGGCTCGATCCCCAGTAGGGGGTGTGCAGGGGGCAGCCAATTGATGACTCTCTTTCACATCTGTTTCTACTTCTCTCCCTTCCTTGCTCTAAAAAAATCAATAAAAACATATTTAAAAGAGAGAGGGTGGAGCTGGAGGAGGGGTAGGAGGACTTGCGGGGGCCAAGGGTGATGCACGCTATTCCACTCCACCCCTTGATGAAAGCCCATAGGAAGTCCAGGTCAGCCCTGAGCAGGGGACCTGGGGATGCCAATGCTGAGTGAATCAGTAAGGACAGTGCAGGTGGCCTACAAGTGGCTGTACTCATGTATAAACTTTTCTTTAAAAATATTTTTTTATTGATTTTTTTTTAGAGAGAGAGGAAGAGGGTGAGAGACAGAAACATCGATGAGAAAAACATTGATCTGCCTCCTGCAGGTCCCCTATTGGGGATCAAGCCTGCAACCTGGGCATGTGCCCTGAGTGGGAATCAAACTAGTGACCTCTTGGTGCATGGGTCAGTGCTCAACCACTGAGCCACACCAGCCGGGCTAAACTTGTTTTTTTTTTTTTTTATCCTCACCCGAGGATATTTTTCCATTTTTTGTACAGATAGAGTGGGAGGGAGAGAGAGGAAGGAGAGAGAGAGAGAAACATCGACGTGAAGGGACACATCGAGTGGCTGCCACCCGCACGACCAACCAGGGCCGGGGACAAACTGCAACCGAAGTACGTGCCCTTAGCGGGAACCGAACCCGGGTCTCTCCGGACCGCAGGCCGACGCTCTAACCGCTGAGCCAAACTGGCCAGGGCTAAACTTGTTTTTTTAATTGTGAAGGTCTCATGGCCACAGACAGAAATCTATCAAGAGCAGAAAAGAAAAACCCTCAGAATCCTGCCACCGAGGCCCAACTGTTCTAGTCTTTGTATTTTATGTAGTTGCCATCAAGTTTTCCCTGTCTGGGCACACTTTTCATGAGCAGATCCCTGTCCTTCTACCAGTTGTATAGCACTTTTATTTGTTCAAACCGCTTTTGGTCTGATATTGTCCTTCCTTCGTAAACTGTGAGGTAAGCAGGCAGGAATTACTTCCATCTGACAGATGAGGAAACTGAGGCACAGAGTGGTTAGGTGACTTGGCCATGGGCGCCTGGCTAGTGATATAGGAGTGCTAGGGATAACCCTTAGGCTCCTAGGCCAATATGTACACAGAGGAGACACAGAGGGAGGACAGAAAAGACAGCCCCACAATTCTCATCTCAAAATATTTAATTTTGTCTTGAAAAGGTTACATTCCCGGCTTCCCTCCCCACATCACTCCGGCCCACCAGCAGTGACGCACTCGCACGCACACACGCACATAAGGCCAACAGGAAACAGTCTGCTTCTGCCCTCGCCAGCTGGGAAGAAGGAATTTCCTCCTTGCCTCCTTCCCCCAACAAAGGTTAGAAAAAGGGGCTCACTGGAATGCCAGCTCCCAGGGGAGGACACAGAACTCCCACACACTCTATCACATCACATGCACTTAGAAAAATAAAACCAAGTGGTAATCTGGCATCCCCAACACCATAAGAGCAATATCCACCTGGAAGTCATCTTTGCCATTTGCTAGAAAAGTTTATTGCACTTAATTAACAGATGTTAAAGGAACTCTGGGGTGGGGCTTTGCCATGAAAACCAGGGGCTCTCGGCCCTTTGTGTTATGTGAAGCAGAGCTCCCAGGGCCCTGGGTGGTGAGCTGCCCAGCACAAAGGAGCCCTTGTCTGCTGGCTCCCATGCTTGCCACCCCACCTCAGGCAGGAGCTGCCTGTCCAGGACTACAGCAGCCCTTCAGCGGGGTGATGCTTACCCAATTAAGGTTCACTGCTAAGTGCCTCTCCAACCTCAGGATCCAAACAGGCAAACCCCTTCCTCTGACCAAGGGTGAGTTACCCAGGTCCTCCACAAGGTAGCTGGCCATCGTGAAAGCTCTCTCTAAATATATATTTATTTCTATATCTAGATAGACATTTATTATATGTATATTCCTGCAACATTCTAGCTCATTCATGATTTGTCTGTTCTGAGGTTGCAACAAGACTGCCAGGAACTGAAAAGACAGATTTGTCTGTTCTGAGGTTGCAACTGCTTAGGAAGGGATGGCGCTTCCCAGTCCATCACAAACCCGTAGAAAGCCATTTACTTTGGCTTCTCTGGCCTCCAGTGCTTTTTAGGAGATGACAAAGATTTGAGCACAGGAGCCTCAGTCTTTGGCTATCAGCCCCAAGATGGAGAGGGGCCAGGAGGGAGTCAAGGAGACTCCCGATTCCATGATGAAAACGAGCAGGCATCGACCCTCTCCTGCAAGGACTCAATTCTTGGGCCTGGGAAGGAGACACGCTTCCCTGACCACTCCTTTTCCCTAACATGTTAACCTCCACAGACATCTCCTTCCAGTCCCTGCTAGGCTCCTGACTCAAAGGGGCTCTTCTAGAAGAGGCTGGCAGCCATTCTTTCCGGAAAAGTAAGCACTTCGGGAAGGAACCAGATGCCCACTGCCTGGCGGGAAGCGGGGGAGGGCACTGGACAGGCAGAAGGTTGGACAAAGAGGAGAGATGTTAGGCCATTATCCCACCCATAGGGTCAGAACATGGACACCATCCAGAGATGAAGTCTCCATTCTTTTAAAAAAAGAGGAAAAACACAAACCATACACTTTCTGGCCAAAGAAAATGAAGAGCTTTTAAGCTAGAGGCTCTTCTACCAATAACAAAATGAGAACTGCCCTCTTGGTGGGTAGCCAGACCAGAGGGAGAGTGCCCGGGCGGGCGAGCTGCCCAGGGCAGGACACTGACATGCCGGATGCAACTGCCCTGTTGTGGTTACAATAGAGTGAAAAGTGTGAACATGGTTTTTATAGAACCACAAAGTAAAGGTCAGGGGCCTGGAGGGAGGCAGTGACTTCCCTTGGCCTCAGGCACCCTTGTCAAGTCCCCAGGAGAGGCAGGTGTGCAGAGGGCCATGGCATTCCCCTGGGGTGCAGTCCACGGCCAGTGGATGGCTTCCCCAAGTCTTAACATGTTATAAAAAGTCTTTAGGGGTCAGAGCCCGGGTCCTGGAGCTACCACTTTAAATAAAGCCAGTGGTAAGCATGACAAAGTGTGCCTGTCACCTCTGACCCCTTGTAACCACAGGCTGCCTAGCCCTGAGCCAATAAATACACCTATCCGCAGATGCCCCAGCTGACCACAATGAGCAGAGGGTTCCATGGATTTCCTCGATGAATCTCCTGGGCAGAGCAAAAGGACGAGTCCAGCCAGACAAAAGAGAAAGCAGCTGTGAGGTAGTGAAGACACAGCTGCAAGGACCCCTCCACATACCGCGAACTGCCAGGCTTGTGTGGGTGGTCCATATCTCCAGGGACCCAGACTCAGGGGACTCTAGTGTGTAAATGTCCCGAGAACCTGCTATTCCATGAGTTGTGCTTTGACTCTGGTGATCCCTGGCCGGCGTCCTGACTGGCAGGTGCCCTCTAGGCAGCTTGCACAGGGGAGGGATGCTGAAGCAAGAACCGGAAGCCCTCTTCTGCTTTCCTCTGGCCTGGCCCATATTGGAGCGCAGAGCAAGACAAAACGGAGACACATGCCCCAGCTCCCTGCCCACAGTGCTAGGTGCTGTGGAGGCTGGTTTTCTGAACACTGTGCAGAAGGTGCATCCTGCCTCCAAGAAGCTAAGCTTCCTAGATGAAGGGTGTTTTCCTTTTAAATCCAAGATATGAGATTGGTCACTGGGTGAAAAGAAACAGGCCTAGAGGCCCAGTCTAGTGGGACAAACAAGATTCAGGTGGCATCCACAAGTGACCTGGAGAAGAGGAGATGCAAAGGCTGCCCTCTGCACTGTGATCAGGGCTCAGAGACCAGCCTACCTGGGAGCCTCTCCTTCACAGCAGACAAAACGCAGAGAGCCAACTGCCAGCGCCTCCTTCCTGGCTTCCAGGCCTCAGAGCCACAAAGTAAAGGGGTGTGGGAGCTGACAATGGTTGGGTGCACTTCTGCTGTAGGCTCCAGACCCAAATTCTACCCAGGCTGTGCAGAGACCCCGCTCTGGTGGCCTGGTACCCATGCAGACAATACGGAGGAGCTGGCATGTCTTTCTGCCTCGAGAGATGGAAGTGGATGTTTCTCTCAGACTTTCTGGGGAGGGTGAGGTGGACCACAGCCACAGTCCATCTGGAAACACGTCCTACTACCTGAGAAGACGTGACAACAATGGACTCATTCTGCAGTGACAGGACTCCACGGCCCAGGGTGGAGACTGAGGGAGAGTCAGGGCAGTCTGAGAGCCCTGGGAAAGGAGATCTGCACTCCAGAGATCCTCTTCCGATGCAATTGGGACATCCGAGAATAGAAACTAAGGCTGATGCACCCGTCTACGTCGATTCCCTCACAGCCATGCCAGTGAGGAGGCCGGCCCCCAGGGAAGTCACCACGTGTGCTGGCCATGTGATAATGAAGCTTGAACGTGACCGCTCCTGGAGCAGGTGCGCCGCCATTCACCCGCGACGAGTCATAAGTCTCCACACGTGTGTGGGGTTTCAAGGACCCCCCAAGCAGAGGCTGAGTTGTAGGCAGCGAGGCCCGGGCTGGGGCATGAGTTATAAGGGCCCATACTTGGTCTCATACTTGGACACGATGGTCTTGCACTTGCCCACCTCCTTGCGAAGCTCAGCCACCTCCGTCCGCAGGGCTGTGTTCTCCTTCTCCAGGAAGGCCGCCCGGATGGTGATCTGGTTCTCCTTCAGGCGCCGGGCGTCCCGAGACCGTTTGGCTGCCACATTGTTCTTCTTTCGTCTTGTCCAGTACTTTTCATCCTGTGGGGAAGTGTTCTCTGTTGGTCTCTCTTCTTTCCCCACAAGGGAACCCAACCTTTCTCCTCCTGCCAGTCCTCCACACCCCTTATCACTCATCTGGTGCAGCCAGAACAAAAGCTGGGACCCAGGGAAGGAGATGCATGTGCCAAGGACAGTAAGAGGCCCTTCCCTTTCCCCGGATGAGAAACAAAACCCTATGGCAGGAAGTGGTGGAGGAAAGGGGACTTCACATACTGGGAGCCTGCTCTGTGCTGCTCCAACATAAAGCACTGTCTACACCTTGCCGCCCACAATCACTTTGGTCATGGCCAAGGTCCAGTCCCTGGAGTTTAAATCTTGGCTCTGTCTCTTACTAGCAGTGGAACCGTGTGAGTTCCTTAACCTCTCAGTGTCTCAGGTTCCTCATCTTCACAATGGGGAATAACAGTGACCACCTCATAGAGGTGGCTGAGGATTAAATGAGTTAATATGTGCAAGGTACTTATTATAGTAAAAACTACATAAAGATTTACCATTTCCATCGCCATTATGAAAGCCTCAGACACCTCCTGAGAGGCAGGTAAAGTTGTTCCCATTGTACAAATGAGGAACCTGAGGCCCAGATAGTTCTAGGTGGCAAAACGGGGTCTGGACCCAGCCCCAGCTCTGTCTAACTCCGAAATTGGATGAAAAGCCCTTCCCATGAGCTTTCCATAAGAGAGTATGGAAAAACTGCAAAATCCTCCTCTCCCTCCCTATCCCAATTCCTATAAAACCATCAACTTGAAAGCTCTTTGCTCATCCCTGGGGATGGTAACATACAACTATCTTTTGTCCTTCAAAGCAAGGGATTGTTCAGCCCAGTTCCTGTGGCGTAGTGAGCTCTTGCCCAAAGGCTGGGCTAAAGCCAGGGAAGCAAGAACATCAACACAGCCATCAGCCAATAAGGAAACAGAGAAGCTACAGGGAGTCACGCTGGGGCCGAGTGCCACCTGACTCCCTTTCTTCCTACCACCTGCTGTGGGATATGGTTCTGTGCTCTGAACTCATGCCTTTCTAAATGGTGTCCATAAGGAAGGAGAAGCCTCTAGATAAAATCAAATGTGAGGAAGCACAGCCCCTTGGCTCTTGGACCAATGCTGTACCTTCCTTATACAGACACCAGGTTACCTTCTGCTCATCAGGCACAAAGACTTTCTTGGCCTTTTTGATCATAGGCTGGGGCTTCAGGTCCTCCTCTGCAAACTTGTGCTTCCGAGGGTTGAAGAGCTCCCCGCCTGGCACACTGGAGAGGACCAGGTCGGCAGGGTCAGGATTGAAGTTCACATCCACCTCCACACAACTGGGGTCAATGGGACTGGGTGTCTCCCTTTCTTTTTCCAAGGAGGATTCTGAAAGATACAGAGGCAGGTGGTCCCGAAGCAGCTCACTGGACAGCAAAGATTCGTGTCACACACCCAAATACCTGCTTGAAGCCACTTGGAGGGAAGAAAATCCACACAGCACCAGCCCCCAAGCCAGACTGTCACATGTGATTCAAATAAAAAACAAAAACATGGTTTTTCTCTTTAGGAACAAAATGCTCAAAAGGAAACAGAGGCCCTTGAAAAAGACAGAATTTTCTGATTGTTTCCCAGCCCCCCCAAAATATTAAGCAAAACATTAAATCATTATCCCCATTAACTTCCTGTGGTTTCAAGCTCTCAAGTAATGAGAAACAGCTGAATCTCTCTGTGCACCATAACGGGTTAGGGATATAGACTAAAGAATAAAATGGCTTCTACTTTTGGCTCCTTAGAGACATATCAGTCACAGTGCTCAGTCTTATGACAATTTTCGAATCAAGATGGGTGTTAATCTTATTTTACAGATGAGGAAACTAAGGCTCAGAGAAAGGACATGATTTTCCTAGGGTTACATAGAAGGTAAGTGACTGAACTAACATTTGAGTCTGGGTGTGACTGACTGAATCCTTGTTCTTCTCTGCCCTACCTGGCTGCCATTTTATAGTGGACATTGGATTAAAGAAACTTTCAGAATTGAAAGGTTGTTAGAGATAAGTTATTAAAAAAACATAAACCTTTGGCCTACTTGTTCAATGTAACTGATAGAGGAGTACACAAAATAATTCAGTCAATAGCTATTCATTGAACACCTACTAATATGCCAGATACATTCTGGCAAAGACAAAGCAGTGAATGAAACTAGTAAAAATCTTTGCCTTTGTGTAATGTTATTCTGATGGAGAAAGCTGACATTACACAAGCTAAATTTTAAATACCTATATCTATAAAAGCATTAGATGTCATGCCCTGGTTGGTGTGGCTCAGTTGGTTGGGTGTTGTCTCGTGCACCAAAAGGCTGCCAAATTGATTTCTGGTCATGGCACATGGCCGGATTGCAGGCTCAATCCCTGGAAGGGGTCATGCAGGGAGTAACCGATTGATGTTCATCTCTCACATCAATGTTTCTCTTTCTTTCTCCCTTTCCCTTTCTTTCTAAAAAGTCAATAAAAATATTTTTTTTAAAAGTATTAGATGTGGGCTGGTTGGTGTGGCTCAGTGGTTGAGCATCGACCCCTGCACCAAGAGGTCACAGGTTCGATTCCCGGTCAGGGCACATGCCCAGAATGTGGGCCCAATCCCCAGTGGGGGGCATGCAGGAGGCAGCCAATTGATGTTCTCTCTCATCGATGTTTCTAACTCTCTCTTTCTTTCCTTCTTCCTCCAAAAATCAATAAAGGAAAATAAAAGCATTATATGTGTCCTGTCCAGTTTGGCTCAGCGGTTAGAGCGTTGGCCCTCGGACCAATGAGTCATGGGTCTGATTCTGGTCAAGGGCACGCACTTCAGTTGTGGTTCCTCCCTGGCCCTGGTCGGGGTCGTTAGGGAGGCAACTGATTAATGTGTCCCTCTTGCATCAAATGTTTCTCTCTCTCTCCCTCCCTCCCACTCTGTCTGAAGATAAATGGAGGAATGTCCTTGGGTGAGGATTAAAAAAAAAAGCATTAGCCTGGCTGGTGTGGCTCAGTGGTTAAGTGTCGACCCATGCACTAAGAGGTTGCTGGTTCCATTCCCAGTCAGGGTACCTGCCCAGGTTGTGGGTCCAATCCCCAGTGGGGGACATGCAGGAGGCAGCCAATTGATTTTTCTCTCTCTCTCTTCCTCTCCCTCTCCCTTCCTCTCTCTCTAAAATCAATAAAGAAAAAAAAAAGAATGAATATTACTTATAGTTATGTCTTTACTATGGAAGGAACTTAAAAATTAAGAGGGGACATTCTGCCTTCATTTCTACCATGCGTACAATTCTTCAGTATAAATCTTATTTCATCTGTGTTATGGTTTTTCTCTGTCAAAGAAGTATTCCTTAAGTATGTTCTGTAAATCTATGTTGTTAATGTAAAGAGAATCTTATGCCCACATAATTTATATGAAACTATAAAGCTAACTATAGAAACCTATAAATGTAAGTGTATGAGTTAACAAATATAATCAACGTATAAAGTTAAAAACAAAAAAGAGGCCCTGGCTAGTATGGCTCAGCGGTTAGAGTGTCAGCCCGCAGACCAATGAGTCGCGAGTTCGATTCTGACCAAGGCCACGTACCTTGCTTGCGGTTTGTCCCCGGCCCTGGTGGGGTCATGAGGCTGGCAACCAGTCGATGTGGCTCTATCACATCAATATTTCTCTGTCTCTCTATCCCTTTCTCCCTCCCTCCCACTCTATCTCATAATAAGTAGTAAAATATCCTCGGGTGAGGAATAAAAATAAACAAACAAACAAACAAAAAAGAGGACATAATATACAATTCCACTTATAGAATGTTGACTAATAAGGAAAAGAAAATCTTTGGTGATGAAAATAAAGATTGTGGTTGCCTCTGGGGAGTAATGACTGAGTGGGGTCACAAGGCACTTTGGGGACACCAAAATGTTCTCTTGATTTGGGTGGGAGTCACATGGGTGGGTTCACTTTGTGAAGATTCTTCGAACTATATACTTATGAACACTTTTGTATGCCATACTTAATTAAGAATGTTTAGCCATGGCCGGTTTGGCTCAGCGGTTGGAGCGTCGGCCTGCGGTACAAAGAGACCCAGGTTCGGTTCCCGCTGGGGGCACGTACCTCGGTTGCAGTTTGTCCCCAGCCCGGCCCTGGTTGGTCGTGCGGGTGGCAGCCACTCGATGTGTCCCTTCACATCGATGTTTCTCTCTCTCTCTCTCTTCCTCTGTCTCCCTCCCGCTCTATCTGAAAAAAAAAAATGGAAAAATGTCCTCTGGTGAGGATTAAAAAAAAAAAAAAAGAATTTTTACTTAAAAACACAATCAAAGGAAAATGTCACATACCCAAGATAAAAGATGGGGGCTCATTTCCAACTCTGTTCCTTACCCACACATGAAACCAGCCTTCTAGTACAATCCAATCAGCACAAAAATGAGCTGCCTTCAAACAAAAATTTGGCTGGAATCAGCTGAAGCCTCTAGATGTAGAGGCCTTTGCAGGAAAAGAACAAGGTGTAGAGGACCATGGTAAATGGGACTACGGCAGCGATTCTCAATATGTGGGTCGCAACCCCTCTGGGGGTTGAACGACCCTTTCACAAGGAGCACCTAAGAACATCGGAAAATACATATTTCCGATGGCGATTCATCACAGTAGCAAAATTACAGTTATGAAGTACCAATGAAAATAATGTTATGGTTGGGGGTCAACACAACACAAGGAACTGTATTAAAGGGTCGTGGCATTAGGAAGGTTGAGAACCACTGGACTACGGGAATATATTCAGAAAAATCCAGCATGTGCTAAATTCTGCAGGATAAATGATTCAGTTCCTTCAACAAATATAAATTGCAAAGAAAAAGAGAGCAGAAGAGGGGACCCTATAAATTACAAGAGATTAAGGGACATAACTAAATGAAATGGGTGGGTCTTATTTGGATACTAATTCAAACAAAGTGCAAAAGAGCAGCATTTATGAGACAACTGTTTGGAAATTTGAATGCTAATGGGTTTATTAGCAAGTTCAGATGTAAAATTGGTGTTTTTGTTAATTTTTAAAAATAACCTTTATTATTTTTTTTATCCTTACCCGAGGACGTGTTTTTTTTTTTTGCATTTATCCTCAGACAGAGTGGGAGGGAGAGAGGGGGAAGAGAGAGAGAGAAACATCGATGTGAGAGAGACACATCAACTGGTTGCCACCCACACAACCCCAACCAGGGCCAGGGACAAACTGCAACTGAGGTACATGTCCTTAGTAGGAACCGAACCCAGGCCTCTCTGGTCCGCGGGCCAATGCTCTAACTGCTGAGCCAAATCAGCCAGGGCTAAAAATAACCTTTATATTTCACATGCATACTGAAATACTTATGGATGAAATAATATCTAGGATTTAAAAAAAAAAAATTTTTTCTTTATTGATTTTTAGAGAGAGAGAGGAAGTGAGAGGGAGAGAGAGACAGAAACATCGATGAGAGAGAACATTGACTGGCGGCCTCCTGCATGCCCCCCACTGGGGATTTGGCCCACAACCTGGGCATGTGCCCTGACCAGGAATCGAACCAGCAACCTCTTGGTGCATGGGTCGATGCTCAACCACTGAGCCACACTGGCCAGGCTAAATCTAGGATTTGATTGAACATAATCAGGTGAGGGGAATGGAAGAGGTTATAGAAAACAAAATTAGCCCAGCTGGTGTGGCTCAGTGGTTGAGAGTTGACCCATGCACCAAGAGGTTGCTGGTTCGATTCCTGGTCAGGGCACATGCCCAGGTTGTGGGCCCGATTCCTGGTGTGGGGCATACAGAAGGCGGCCAGTCGATGATCTCTCTCATTGATGTTTCTATCTCTCTCTCCCTCTTCCTTCCTTTCTCTCTCTAAATCAATAAAGAAAAAAAAAAAAGATTGGTTATGAGTTAAAAACTATGGAAGCTGAGTGACGGTTACATGCAGACTCACTATAGTAATCTCTTACTTTTGCATTTGAAGAAGTAAAATAAAAAATAAAAATATGCCTGGCCGGTGTGGCTCAGTGGTTCAGTGTCAACCTATGCACCAAAAGGGCACTGGTTCGATTCCTGGTCAGGGCACATACCCAGGTTGTGGGCCCAATCCCCAGTGGGGGGCATGCAGGAGGCCGCCAGTCAATGTTCTCTCTCATCGATGTTTCTATCTCTCTCTCCTTCTCCCTTACTCTCTAAAAACCAATAAAGAAAAAAATAAATCAAAATAAAAACAGAGCATGAGCTTGGCCCAGTGGCTCAGTTGGTTGGAGTGTCGTCCTGTACACCAAAAGGTTGCAGGTTTGATTCTTGGTCAGGGCCTGTATGGAAGGCAAATGATCAATGTTTCTCTCTCACATCGATGTTTCTCTCCCCCGCTTCTTCTCTCTCTGAAAATCAATAAAAACATATCCTTGGGTGAGGATTAAAAAAAAAAAAGCCCTGGCCGGTATGCTCAGTGGTTAGAGCGTAGGCCTGCAGTCCAGAGAGACCCGGGTTCGGTTCCCGCTAAGGGCATGTACCTCGGTTGCAATTTGTCCCCGGCCCTGGTTGGGTCGTGCAGGAGGCAACCCCTCGATGTGTCCCTTTCACGTCGATGTTTCTCTCTCTCTCTCTCCCTCCCACTCTATCTGAACAAAATATGGAAAAGTGTCCTCAGATGAGGATAAAAACAAACAAACAAAACAGAGCATGAATATTCTTTGGGTGTGGGTTCCCTGGGATTCATACCAGCTCCTGGGGTCCTTCCAGGAGCCATCAGCCTGTGTCTGTAGAAAGCTTTGCAGAGACCCCTGAAACAGGGGCCATGCCTCCTCTGGAGGGTTCATGTCTAAGGGGCATGAAAAACAAATAACTAACCAACCAACCCCTAGAGGTAAAACAGAAAAAGAACAAGAGGATGAAGGAGGAATCCTGAAGATGATACCTTCTTTGTGTTAGTGCCTAAGCAGTACCTCACTATGGAATTAGACAACCTGGGTTCAACTGCTGCCTCCTAACCTACCAGCTGTGTGACCTTGGGCAAGTTACTTAACTTCTCAGGTTCTCACCAATAACAGATAAAGTTGTAAGGGTTACATGTTAATGCCTGGCACAGAGTAAGTGCTAAATAAATGTTAGCTGGTATTGCCCTGGCCAATGTGGTTCAGTGGTAAGAGCATCACCCCACACACCAAAGGGTGAAGGATTCGATTCCTGGTACCAGGTTGCAGGTTTGATCCCAGTCCTGGTTGGGGTGTGTGCAGGAGGCAACCAATCAATATGTCTCTCTCACATAGATGTCCCCCCCCCCCCTTTCCATCTATATCCCACACCCTCACTCTCTCTGCTCCATTCTTTCTAAAAAAAATCAATGGAGCCCTGGCCGGTTGGTTTGGCTTGGCGGTTAGAGCGTCAGCCTGCAGTCCAGAGAGACCCGGGTTCGGTTCCCACTAAAAGCACGTACCTTGGTTGCGGTTTGTTCCTGGCCCTGGTTGGGTCGTGCAGGTGGCAGCCACTCGATGTGTCCCTTTCACATCATTTCTCTCTCTCTCCTCTCTCCCTCCCACTCTATCTGAACAAAAAATGGAAAAAAGGTCCTTGGGTGAGGATTAAAAAAAAAAAAATCAATGGAAAAAATATCCTCAGGTGAAGATTAACCAAAAAAAGAAAAATGTTAGCTGGTATCATTATTATTGTCCAAGCTTCTTAATAATCTGTGGCAAAGAGCCGCACTGATAAAATGCAGAATGGGATTTCTATCCTGCAGAACCTCAGACTGGAAGATCTTGCTCCACTGTACTGACCACCTACAGCAGACCAACCAACAAAAAGGCTCTGACACCACTAATGTGACTGTGCTAAAGGGTGGGGAGCAGACGATTTCTCCACATCGCAGGCCTACCAGGCCTGAGAGAGGGGCTCACTGGGCATGTGGACACAAGAAGCCTTCAGTGGGAAGTAGACTTCCTTAGTGGGATAGGTGGCCCTTCCCAAAGGCCCATCACCAACCTGTGCTGGACACGGTTTCAGAGGGCTGAAAGATGGCGGTGGAAGAGGATGGTGGGGATGCTGTGGAAGAGCTGGCCGACTCTTTTCCTTCTAGCTCAGCCACAGGCAGCAGCAGGTTCTGTGCCAGGTGGGTGAGGCTGGCAGGGATGCCATTCTCCAGCAGGAACTCATCCAGGTCCATGTATTCCAGGTGGAATGATTCACCATCATATGGGATGGTCTTGTCCCAGATAGGTGGCATGAGGGAGGCTGAAACAGCCATGGTGCTAGCTGCTGCAGCCTCGTCTTCTTCCAGCTTTTCTTTCCCTTTTTCCTTATCTGCAGACACAAAACCTATGATGAGACACCACACAAGAGGGTAATTCAATCCCAAGAGGGGATAGGAGCTTATCTCTCTGAGTCCTGAACCATCCCATGCATTTCAAGAGCCCACTGTGTTCTCCAGTTATAACCTGGTGCTTGACCCAGGCCCACTGGTCTCCTTTACAGATTGCAGTATGTCTTTATCCATGCTTGGGTTTCCCAGAATGCTCACCACAAGCTCTAAGGTGGTTAATTCAGAATGCGCTGTGGAATTGGCATCTGGAAGAGAGAGGCTACAGGGAGGAAATGGAATCTCTGAGTCTTCTGATATCTAATCCCTGTGGTAGGAAAGGGTGATTCCTCAGGCCAAGAACTTGTGTGTTCTCCTGTCCTGTCCCCTCCAGCTATGCTTCTCTATAGCAACTCAGCCTATAGCTTGAATCCCAGCTCTGCCATCCAGTAGCTGTGACTTTATCTATGTAGTTAGCCTCTCCCAGCCTCAGTGTCTTCCATTGTAAATAAAAACAAAGCTTTCTCTTTGGTATAGACTAGAGATAATATTTGCAAATGTCTTATAGAGTTCCTGGCAAATGGCAGGCATTCATTGCTAAGTTCATTGAGGGCAGGGACTGTGTCTGATTCATTTCTAGATCTCAGGATGAACACAGGGGAAGGCTGTTCCTGGGCCATGGCAAAATTTGCTTGCTGAATGACGAACTCTGGGTTTGCACACAGATTCCCTTTAGATTTATTACATACAGAGGGTGTGGAGCTGCCTTTTCAGTATGTTTTTCGGAGCAACAGTTTCAAGAGAAGTCTATCCCTGAATAAGCTGAGAAGACTGAAGGCAGGTTTTCTGGGAAAGAGAAGGTGGAGCTGAAGAAGCAAGCTTGCTCCCATTCAAAGCAAAACTAATCACTTAGCAGGGACTGGATCTCACCTAATGGTCTCAGTCAAAAAGTTACCTTCATGGCCCAGCCGGTGTGGCTCAGTGGTTGAGCATCAACCCATGTACTAGGAGGTCGCCGGGTGATTCCCGGTCAGGGTACATGCCCAGGTTGTGGGCCTGATCCCCAAAAGGGGGCATGCAGGAGGCGGCCAATCGATGTTCTCTCTCGTCGATGTTTCTCTCTCTCTCTCTCTAAGATCAATAAAGAAAAAAAAAGAAAAGAAACAGCATTAAAAAAAAAATAAGTTACCTGTGTGAATATTCAAGAAAGGGCAAATTAGGAAAAAAAGACGAGAAAAATGTGACAAGGTTGGAAGGAAATCAAAGTGACAGGGAGGATAATCGGGAAAGTGGGAGATAAGATCATGACAAGTTCATAATAGGTTTTCAAACTGAGGGCGACAATTTTGAACTCTGGATTCTGAAGTGAAAAAGAGAAATCAAATATAATTATGTTGAAAATAAACCAATCATGCATGGACTCCCAGACCTTAGCCGGCCAAAAAGAAGCCTGTTAGTCCAATCAAAATAGACATATCAGTGGGTTAAAAAGGTGGAGATTCTTTTTTTGTTTTTGTTTTTTACTTACTAGGGTAGCAGTAGCAGTTTATTTATTTATTTATTTTTTATCCTCACCCGAGGACATTTTTCCATTTTTTGTTCAGATAGAGTGGGAGGGAGAGAGAGAGGACGAGAGAGAGAGAGAGAAACATCGATGTGAAAGGGACACATCGAGTGGCTGCCACCCGCACGATCAACCAGGGCCAGGGACAAACTGCAACCGAGGCACATGCCCTTAGTGGGAACCGAACCCGGGTCTCTCTGGACCGCAGGTCGACGCTCCAACCGCTGAGCCAAACCGGCCAGGGCTAGGGTAGCAGTTTATTATGAAGGACAGAATCAGGGACAGCCAGATGAAAGAGAAGCTTCAGGCAAGGTGTGGAAGAAGGGGTGTGGAGCTTCTCTGCTTCTCTGGGTGTGCCACCTCTGTGAGTTCAGCAACCCAGAAGCTCTCTGAACCCCGCAGTTCAGGGGCTTTTATGGAGGCTTCATCACCTGTTATCACTTCATCTCCGATGACACCTCCCCCAGAGCTCCCGAGAGGAGGCGGTCTGGTACATCTGAGAGCACAGGCTTTGGGGTCACACACACCTTCCTGGAATCCTGTCTCTGCTGCCTCCTTGTTATGTTATCTTTGGCAAGTTACTTGTCATCTTTGATCCTCAGTTTTCTCATCCTTCTAGGTCCAGTTAAATGTCCTCCCTCCCTCTGTGGTGCCTCCACATTGTGTTCACTTTGGGTTGTGGATACATCTGTCTCCCCTGCTGTGTTCTTTCAGAACAGTAACCACATTTCATTTATCTTTAATCCCTAGTTCCAAGCCTGGGGTCTGACCCACAGTAGGAATCAACAAATGCTTATGGGAAGATGTAAGGAAGGAGGGAGAGTGCATAAGATGGAGAGAGAAAAAAAAGGAAGAAAGGGGACAGGAAGAGAAGGGAGGAGGAATTAAGGAAGGAAGAAAAAGGTGGAAGTCTTGACAAACAGAATTTGGTAATGGCTTCTAATATGAATTAACCTAAATTCTTGCAACTGCCTTCTGTACCAGTCTTTGGTTGAAAACCAAATGGGAAGTAAGAAAGCCAAGCTTTGGTGGGCTGGGTGGGCCAGATGGCCTCGCTGTTCTTGACTCTATATTCTGTTCGGATCCATATTGGGTCATGGGGAACAAAGGAGATAGAGAAATAGCCACACTCAAGGACAAGTAACAGTAAGTTCCAGGTTTTGCCTGGCCTAAGCAATTAAGGATATTTTTAATCAATGTTTTTAAAAGATGTAGTTTTAATTGTAAGTGATGATAAAGAACTAGGTACAAGGATTGACATTAGTGGTTGCCAGAGACCCAGTAAAAAGCACTAGACTGAGAGTTATAGGACCTGGTTATGTGACACTGAAGAAGCATCCTCAACTCTCTGAGCCTCAACTTTCCTTATCTGGAAAGTGGGAATAATACTCTACAGAATTGCAGTGGAAGAGTAAATAAAACACAATTCTGTCAAAGTGCTTTGTGAGCATTCTGCTAATGTAAAGTAGAATTATTGTTATGGATAGCTCTTATTTGGCAATCTTGAACAAGACCCTGACAGATGTGTACACCTGTCCCAGCAGCTTGCCTCAGCCCCGGAACTGGAACAAAGCATTGCCTTAAAAACAAACAAAAGGGCCCTGGCTGGTATGGCTCAGCAATTAGAGCGTCGGCCTGTGGTCCAGAGAGACCGGGTCCCTTTCCCGCTAAGGGGGCGTACCTCGGTTGCAGTTTGTCCCCAGCCCTGGTTGGTCATGCGGATGGCAGCCACTCAATGTGTCCCTTTCACGTCTATGTTTCTCTCTCTCTCTCTTCCTCTCCCTCCCACTCTATCTGAACAAAAAATTAAAAAATGTCCACAGGTAAGGATAAAAAACAAAACAAAAAACAAACAAAAGGGTCTTGCACATAAGTCCAGAAGCAGGATGAGAATGCCTGGTCTCACCTGACAGTGCTGAAGCTATTTATAACCCAGTGGTGATTTGCCACAGGAATGGAAGCCTAGGAACACATCCCAGAAAGAGATGGCATTTTAAAAAACAAAATCAATTTCCCAAGACAGGTAATTCACAGAAGGCCTATTCCTTCCCAAACCCCCCAATTACACTGATGGTTCTTGGAAACGCAAAGGTCTCAGACTGAAAGCATAACTCTGTGCACCTAAAACCACAATAGGTGGCACTCTGCTGCTCCCTGGACCTCACGTTCCCAGGCCAAAAAAAACCGAGCCAATCCTGCTTTCCACATAAGTGCTTTGTGGCCTAGGGCACAAAATGAAGCCCCGCTCTGCCACTGTGGCCCAAAGTCTAGGATCAATCCAAAAAAAATTAGGTGAAGGGCTTCTGTGGCCTTATTCTGAACTTCATCCCTCTACCTGCCTCACTCCACTTTTCCCCTCAGAAGGTGCCTCGCATCCCTTCTGACACCCCTCCCCCACCTCAGCAGCAACCGAGACACACTTCCAGAAAACCTCCAGTGTGTACCTAGTAGTGGGGATGAAGACAGGTTCTCCACCCAGGAGGGGGGCGAGGCCATATGTGAAGACAATCTGCCATGTAAATCAGCGCTTCTTAAACTTTAGTGGATTGGGGAATCACGGAGGTGGGGTACTCCTTAATATGCAGATTCCTGTCCTAGGAGCTGCAGATTCGGTGGATGAAAGGTGGGCCCAGGAACTGGCATTCTAAACAAGCATCCCAAGTGATTCCGATGAAGCCATCCCCGGAGAAGTCACCCCGAGCGTCATTTAAGTGTCTGCTGCAACCCTTTTCAGCCTGCTCAGTAACCCCTACACATCGTGCGCGCTCTCCGCCGCGACCCCACCCATCCTCTCCCTCCGTACCCTTTTCTGCTAACGCCATTCTGACCCAACCACTCTCAACTCGTCCCCGACCTTCTCCCAACCTTCCAGCCTCGTCCACCAGGCCCTCCGCCATCCCTGGCCCCATCCCCCTCTTCGGGACCACTTCACCCTGACCTCCGACCTCCCCGGCCCCGCCCTCACAAGGCCCCGCCCCTGAATCCCCGCCCCCAGGCACGAGCGGACCCCCCGCCCCTCACCGAGGCGGGCTTCGCGCGGGGGGTTCTCCATCAGCTTTTTCAGGACCAGTGGGAAAGAGCCTGGCAGGGCCCTTTCCCCAGCTGCACGCCCCGGCCCCAGGCCCGGCCCCGCCTGCGGTTCCACAGGCGGCTTCTTTCCGCCGCCCGTGTCGGACATCGTGCTCCCCGCTCCGCTCGCGCGCCTCGCCTCCCCCGCCCGCCCCTCGAGAAGGGCAGGAGCCGTGCGACCCGCCGCAGCTGCCGACATGGGCAGCTACTGCGCAGGCGCCCAACAGCTCCCCCGCCTCCCTCCATCCCTACCCCGCCAGTGGACAGGCTCTGGGATATTAATTATTCATGAAACCAGGCCAGCGTCCCCAGATCGCAGCCTTGGATTGGCTCACCCTGCAAGGAGGGCGGGAGCAGCCTTCCGGGCCGTGATTGGTTAGGCTACAGGGATAAGTGAGACACGTGCGGGGCCAGGTGAGCAGCAATGCCGGAGGCCTGGCCCCGCCCGTCCGCCCGCCCGCCCGGGTCACCTGATTGGCGCCTGCTGGAGTCTGTGTCAGAAGCCCTCTTCGGCGGCAGCTCCTTCACTTCTACCAGAGGTTTCACCTTCGCCTTCATCTTCATAACCCCCGCTCTCCTCCCGGACCATCGTGACCGTTCTCCTTTCCCTCTCATCCCAATCTCGCCACCTTCGATACACGACACTGAAGGGAGGCAGGCAAGGCTGGGTGCGGCCGGGGCAACCTATCCGAGAGCCAGTTTGGGCCTCTAGGTCCGGCCTCCGCAGGTCACATGGAGCCCCAGCCGAGTCTAGTCGTGTGGGGAGGGGGAAAGGAGGAAGGCGAGGAGCAGCCAATGGAGGGTAGGGGCGGGGCCCGGGGCGGTGCACGAGGCGCAGCACGTGCAGGCCTGCGGCGGGGAGCGGCGGGCCCTTTTGTACCTGGGACTCTGCCCAGGGTCGTGGGGCCCGGCCGCGGAGGCGAGTCTGCACCCCTCCTCCCCCAGACCCAGAGGTTGGCTGAGGGCAGGGCGGCGGCGTCTTGCCCATCCGGTAGGGATGGCCCCAGGAGGAGCTGGCTTGGCCCCCGCTGAAGCGAGTGTCAGGTTCCTCACTGATCCCGGCTTTCTGGTGCGGGCGTGGCGGCCAGATAAACACTGGTGTGGAGGGAGCATTCTGAAGGCCTGGGCGGGGGTGGGGCGCGGTTGAGTGGAGAGAAAGGGTCTAGCCCTGGGCCAAGGATCGGGGTACATGCTTTTGTCCTCCCACTTACTAGCTGTGACCTTGGGAAAGTCCATTTGCTTCATTTGAGCCTGTTTCCTCATTAAAGGGGTTGGACTAGATAATCTCTAAAGTCCTAAACGGCTCTGAAATTGTTCCTCTCCAAGACCTTTTCATCCTTTTCCCAGGGACAAAAACACAGAAAACCAAACTCCTTTACATAGGGTATCCAGTACACAAAAACCACCTCCTGTATTAAACTATAAACACTTCCTAGGAGTTCCTTAGGGAAGGTGAAATGTGAAGGGTACACAATGTGGAGACATTATAGGAAGCTGCTCCTAAACAGCAGCCCAGAACTTTGTCCTCCTCCTTCTTGTGGTATGTTCCCCTAGCGGGAACCGAACCGGGACTCGCTGGTCCGCAGGCCGATGCTCAACTGTTGAGCCAAACTGGCCAGGGCTGCCTTTTTTTTTTTTGTTAATCCTCACGTGAGGATATTTTTTCCATTGATTTGTAGAGTGGGAGGGAGGGAAGCATTGATTGGTTGCCTCCTGCAGGGGCCTTGATGGAACCTGCAACCCAGGTATGTGCCCTACACTGGCACTGGAACCTGCCACCCTTTGGTGCGCAGGCCGATGCTCTATCCCCTGAGCCACACCGGCCAGGGTGAACTTTGTCCCTCATATTTATTTTCTTCTATTTACCTTAAATAGAGTGGGAGGGAGAGAGAAACTTTGCTGTGAGAGAGACACATCAATTGGTTGCCTCCCACATGACCCGACCAGAGCCGGGGACCGAACCCCAAGGTCAAACCCTTGACTGGACTCGAACCCGACACTCTAACCGCTGAGCCAAGCCGGCCAGGGCAACTTTGTCCCTTTTTACAACACAAACCATACTCTGGTTTGAACCCAAACATATAAGACTGCCTGCTTGAACTCCCAGAGGGCAAGGACTTTGGCCTGTTTATCCTGTATTCTGCCAAAGGCTGGGGAGTTGGGAAGGGTAGGATGGAGCCCTGGGTTCACCAGGTGGGGGTGTCACCCACTGCAATACCCAGCTAGCAGAAAGTTGTCAAATTGATGTAATTAGAATTTTCCTGGTTGCTGCGGAGGAACAAGAAAGTGGGCTCCTGAACAGGCCTGGAAAGGTGGTGGTTGGGGCAGAGTGATGGGGTGTGACTCCAAACTCAAGTTTACTGCCACGTTCATTAGACTTCAGTCACTGTCTCACTTGATAACCTCCAGCCAATTTCTTCCTTTCCTTATATATCAAATGGATCTACCTTGTGGGTTTTCTGTAGGCCAATGTATGTAAAATGCACAATTGCAAACCTGCAACAAATGGTAGTTTTCATAATTTTTGTAAAACTAATGGGTACAAATCCACCGTGTGGTGTATCCATTATCCTGGAGGCTAGTGCAGTGCCCGTGTCATTCATAATTCATATTTGTGGAAAAACTAAATCTGTTGTGTTGTAGAGTTGTTAACGGGAATTCTGTATGTGGCTAAGATACCTTTAGGTGAAACTGACCTAGAGGTCTTTATTATTGATTGATTGATTGATTGATTAATTTTAGAGAGAGGCAGGGAGAGGGAGAGAGAGATGGGAACATCAATGAGAGTGAACATCGACTGGCCGCCTCCTGCATGCCCCACACTGTGGATCGGGCCCATAACCTGGGCATGTGCCCTGACTGGGAATCGAACCGCGACCTCCTGGTGCATGGGCTGATGCTTAACCCCTGAACCACACCGGCTGGGCTGACCTAGAGGTCTTTAGAAGCAAATTTTAGAGGCCTTTCCAAGGGAGATTTATTAAAACAAAATATGAAGCTTTAAAAAAAAAGTCTAGTTTGGCAGAGGAGAGACTTACTGGATTAGAGTCAAATGTATATTTTCATGGCTGATGTGATATTGTTGAAGGGGAAAAATAATTCTCAAAGTATTAGAGGAGGATTTATGATAACGTAACAGTGGAAAGTTATAGCATTTGTTTACGACAAAGGTGGGATATAGTAAGAGGTAGTAAAGATTTAGCTATTTTTAGCGGGAACCGAACCCAGGTCTCTGTGGACCGCAGACCGACACTCTAACTGCTGAGCCAAACTGGCCAGGGCAGATTTAGATATTTTTAAAGCTACAATTATCCAAAGGGGGAAATGCCTACTCCACTCATCACCTAGCCTGGAGCAACTAACCTACCAGGCGAGTGACACTGGTGAGAAGCGAGGCAAGCAGGTTGGGCCTTCAGAAGTTAGTTTTGATTTGGTTCTCTGTTCGTGTACTGACACTCCCCAGAAAGGGTTTTTCCCTGGATAACCACAGGGTAAATGGTGTGTCACAAACACTGCAGGAACATTATAAACATGTTCTCTCTCGTGCCTACTTGCAAGCTGAGAGGTTAGCAACATTGCCGGCTGGCAGCCTTCAACAGTACCATCCTGGAGACGGGAGCCATTATGTTCTAGTCTTCATTCTCCAGCTGACCTAAAAAGAGCCATAGCCACTTCTCTCTACCTCCCGCTCCTGTCAGTGAAGTGGGAATAACTGCAACCTTGCCCTTTCTCTGAGTGGAGAAGTAAACATGATAAGTCATTAGCTAATTTCCACAGTGTTTGTGAGCCCTACAAAGAAACAAACTCCTTAAAAAGAACGTGTTATTACGTGGTTAAGGCTTTAAAGGTATGAAGTGGTACCTTAATGTTCTTTAGGAATAAGGTTTCAATGCAGCTACTTCTTGAGGAAGTGTGGTCCTGGAGACAGCTTTATAGACTTGGGAGGCAGGCCTGCGTAGAATCTCTCCTCAGACACTGACCAGCCATGTGGCCTGGGCAAGCAACTTTTCTTGCCTAAGCCTGAGTTATTTTTCTCTTGGAAACAGAGATGGATATGCTTACCTCACAGAGTGGTTATGAGGATTATGTGTGAGAAGCAATGTCAAGTGCTGGCATGGAGTAGGAGTGCCTCCACTCTTCCGCTTCCACTCAGCTTGTGTTGGGTCTGGAGTAGAATTATTTGGGGCGTGGGGACAAGGGTGTGTAGTTGAAGGTGGCCTCTGGAGTCTGTGCTGAAGCATTCTCCAGAGGTGGCCTGGCTTTAAATTCTACTCTTTTATGTTCCAGAAACCTAAGTTAAAATTTTAATTCAAGCCCTGGCCAGTTTGGCTCAGCAGTTAGAGTGTTGGCCTGCGGACCGGAGAGTCCTGGGTTCAGTTCCCACTAAGGGGCACGTACCTCAGTTGCAGTTTGTTCCTGGCCCTGGTTGGGGTCGTGTGGGTGGCAACCCCTCAGAGTGTCTCTCTCACATCGATGTTTCTCTTTCTCTCCACCTCCCTCCGCTCTATCTGAAGATAAATGCAAAAACGTCCTCGGATGAGGATTAAAAAATTTTAATTCCCTTCAATTGAGCATATGCAGAACAAGTGCCTTTCATTAAGCCATTATACTGATTTGGAGTATTATCATTTAAACTTGAAGTTCAGAGGAGCTAGAACCCCAGCATGGGAGCATTTGGCCAGATACCCCATAATGATTTACTTCGCCACATATTCAGTGTCTAGTAGGACAGGACCATTTCATCTTTCGACTTACAGAAATATGTGTTGTAAGAACAGGGCAACAAAAAGGCTTCCATTGAGCTCTAACAAAGCCCAGTTATCTGTGTGCTTTGCCAATACCAAATGCAGGGGAGTACAAAGCTTTGTTCAAGGTAGTAACTCAGTAAATATTTGTTGGCTCGTTTGTTGTTGGTGCTGGTAGAAGGGTTAACAAAACCTTTCAGAGGCAAGTCATATACATTTGGAATGTTATTAGCATTAAATAACAGTCCATTGTGTTTCACAGTTGAACCTGGAATAACAAACATGGCAAGTTCCCCCGCACTAGCCTGACCAACAGCTGCCTCCTTTTGAGCCCACATACCTGTGGGCTGTGGTTTGTACCTTGGTCTCAGTGTGTTCCAGGGCAGAAGTGGTGGGCGGAGGCTCTTTACTAACTCATGTCCATCTCTCCAGTACTCTCAAGAGTACTAATTTCCTGTTTGGCTTGCATTTTGCCCACTCCCAGGATTCAGATTGATTACAGATGGAGAGCTGCCTCAAGAGGGCCATTTCCAAAAAGAAGCCCTCAGCTTCGGTCTCTGCCATCTCAACAGCCACTGCTTGATGGCCAGGGATTCTCCTGTGCGAGCCATGTTGGTGGAACAGTGGTAGGGTATGGGCTCTGGAGCTGGACCATTTGGGTCTGATTCCTGGTTTGACTACTTCCTAACTGTATGATCTCGGACAACTTACTTAACCTCTCTGTGCCTGAGTGTCAGAGGTAAAGGAGTCAATTTGGGTACACTTCATAGCAAATGCTCAATTGAACTTAACTCTTACTATAATTCCATCTTGAATTGTTCTGGAACGACCTCATTCCTCTGTACTTGCCACTTCCCTGAGAATAGTGGGGGTTGGTGGGGTCTTGCAGACAGGGAAATGACAGCCTCACTACCTTTATGACCTTAAGGGCCCTGCAGGCTCTCCCTG